GTGTCAGGTTAATTGGACGGATACGCCCAAAATTAGGCATCTTACAGGCAGACGTTCACATATTTGGTGAAACCCACATGCACGGGTAGTCGATAAAGAAACGTAAGCAGTGCGAACCGAGTTCGAACCCACGATCAAAGGTTTGTGGCGTACCCAATGGGTGCATCTCTGCACAGCAAATTTCAGCATCTTGAAAGACTGAGCCACCCGTCCACCTCTGGTAAAACCTGCAACCCCAGAGTCAGAATCAGGCAACTCTTGCCGCAATTGATTTGAACCCGCTGTCAGTCGATATTGATGGTCAAAGCACACCAGTCTGCCTCGAGGTTCTACAAACGTGTTACATACAAAATGTCCATTTGTTTCATATTTACACTCACCAAACCCAACAAAGAAGTAAAATTACTCATTTGAAGGTCACACGGTCGACTTCATTGGCTTTGCTTAGATAACCTCTACAAGGTCATACGTGAGTCGCAGTAAAACATCCCTACATATTATTCTAATAATAATTCACTCCGAATCGAATTACCGTGTATGGTAACATATTGAAACAATTAGGTATTATGGTTAGAGGATCACGGAAGTTCCAAGATGACAATGCTGACAAGTAGAGCAGAACTGCTGGGCAAAACAATATGAACTTGAAAATTATCTTTCTCATTATTGTTTCAAACAGTGTATGCTTTCTTTTGCCAGACAAGCAACAGTCCATCAACATTTCGGGAACGTTGAGCTACGAGATTTTGATCTTGAAACGAAGGAATCGAAAACGACCTAAATATGTGATAGATGACATACCTTTAACGACCTACGACCCGTGAAGATCCGGGTTAGAATTGGTCTTCAGTAAACCATACTTGTCGTAAGAGGCGACTAACGGGATCGGGTGGACAGGTTCTCTGACTGGGTTGACACATGTCATCGGTTCCCGATTGCGTAGATTGATGCTCATGCCGTAGACCACTGGATTGACTGGTCCAGACGCGATAACTTATGGAATATTCTCCATATAGCTGGAATGTTCCTGAGTGCGGTGTTAAACAACAAACTAACGAACATACATTTAACATTTTCAATTGTACATGATTGTAACTATGGCGACGCACTAGCTGCGCATGGGTGTGTGGCCTATGAGCGCCATGACCCTATATGCTAAGTTCAACTACACATTCACAGAACAAAATCACATAGCATTTCCTCGACCCAAAGTCCAGGCTTGTATTTCTTTCACTCTTTATCCATGCAGTTAAATCGAAACATTAAATACGGAGAATTCGGTGCGTTAAGAAAATCCCCAAGGCTTGTTTAAATCTCGGTGGCACTGATGACACAGTCGCCTCTTTTCTGTGCAGAGTTGCGTCCCTTGGTCCCTTTTGACTGTGTGTTCAAATCCAGGTTCGACAAGATATTTCTTCAGCACCGTGCTTTTGGTATTATAATTGTTGTCAAAGTATTAAACGGCTGGAGACCTGGATCACTTCGCGTTTTCCTCCTACGTTTAGGACATGTGTGATGTAACTGGAATAATGTTAAAGCACCGTTAACCCTCCACTGTTTGATCGAGGAAATACGGTACACGCCACTGTGGGCAACTACAACTGCTAGTATGTACTGAAGAAATGAATGGCAACATACCACTTCTTCTATTTGTTGTGTCATCGACCTATTTATTTCCAACCCACTGTTTAACACAAAAAGGTGGTGGGACTGGCGTCTCCGATAAACCGCCAAGACCATTTGCAAGTGTAAACAACGCTCGCTTTGCTTTCAGTGGTGAACTGTTATGGTCCTGGTATGGTGATCGATCTGTTCTCTCTGAAAGTCTGAGTTGATCACCTGCCAAGCAGACTTTGCGCTACGGTCCCGTCATAGATACACAATCTCAGCTGAACCGGCGTATTGAGCTGATTGTATGGCGTGTGTCGCGGGTTACATACCCCCGACTGTATATACTTGGCGTTCTGTAGAACGTTTGACCTAACAAGAATCCATAAATTTTTATGTTACAAGGTGCTACACGCGAGGTCATTCTGGTATTGTAACTGCCCTTGACTGTACAAATCAGTCAGTGAGTTACTGACACAAGATATAGGCTCACACATTATGCCGGTGAACGAACCGTGAAGGCGGGACGAGCGACCGCTTTACCCACTAGGCGAGTCCGTCGGCCTAATGAATGAGTGAGTGAACCAAGTCAAGGCAGCTTTGACCTGTATTTCAGTTTAATCACTATGTGTCAACTTCATGTGAATTGAAAGCCCGAGTGGTTTAGGTATTCGACGTTTACCACCTTGGAGACACCGACGAGTGGTTAGAACGTGTAGAATTCAGAACGAATTACCACCTTGGTGACACCGACGGGCATGGGTGCAGAACGTGTAGAAACAGAATGAGAATTCAAACTCACGACGGGATTCAGGCATTTGCCCAGTGACATGTGGAAGGAAAGCCTGAAGTGATTCTGCATGAACTTCGACGTTTTACACTCTGTTAACACCCACGAGTATGCTGTTCAGGGGGCGGATACAGCTTTTTAGTGTGGGGGTGGGTTTGCATACTATTGAGAAAAGGGAGGGTGCACATGTCATTTTCATCCGAGTTTCAATGGTCATTTAATAAACTTTCAGGACGAGAGGGGTGCGCACCCCTGCACTCCCCTTCTGGATCCGCCTATGCTGCTGAAAAACATTGAAACGTGATTAGGGCGAACTGGGATTAAAATACACTGTAGACTCAAGGTCCAAAATACGACCATAATACCGATATCAAATACATAACTTCTAAATAACCTTTTCCTAGTTGTTTCCTATTTAGTCAAACATGGACTTAAATACTTAATTTTGACTGGCAGTTTGCGTGTGAAGCCCTGTTTAGTTCTGGGTTAGAATTGGCTAGTATAGGAACATATGCTTGTCTTAAGAGGCGACTAATAAGTGGTTGACTCATGTCATCGCGTCTCCACTGTCTTGAAGAAACCAATCACTGGATTGTCTGAGCAAGACTCGCGACTGTTTTAGTTCGTATCTAGATGCGTAGAATGTTGCAGTTTTATGGCTTTGTAAAACAGTTAACTAAACGTTTCGCAAGCGGGCTAAGATATTAACTCCTGGAAACAAGTAACATTCTTACATCAAATATTGATAGTCGATATAACTATAATCATACGGATATCCAGTTAATGTTTGGTGATATCCACATTTAGAATAACACATTATTGTCTGTTCATATTTAGAAGGAATATTTTCTGATGACATATCGGCGTTCATTCCTCATTGCAGACGTGGTGAAGTGCACGTTATAATTCACTTTGATGGTTGATCAACTGACCCAGCGACATTCCTGCTAGCGTTGTCATAGCACTGTTGTGTGGTCTTATAATAGCCTCACCCCACTTCAAACATTGACAGTGTGATCTTGTGGAAAGGGTGTTGTGTGTAATAGTAGAAAGGAAATGGAAGTGGGGGCGGAGGAAAAGGGATTGGTATATCTAAACACTAAAGAGTCAGTTTGGATGGAAATGTCTTTTTTAAGAAAATGGGTGCTACGTGTTTAACTGTGAAATTAGGGGAACATTATAACTAAATGAATGATTTGGGCAAACAATTTAGTGACTCTACGGAACAACCAGTGCACCATTAATTAGGGGTGAACCACGGTACGGTACGTATTGCGGTACACGGCCTTTGGTTCGGTCTGTTTCGGTATATGAGATATGCTCATAATGCAGAAAACTGACAAGAGACAAACCTTACATTGTTCAATGACATGGAAAAAGATAACCATAATCTTTGTTATTTTGACAATTTGTCATTTTACGACACGACAGAAATGACGGTACGAAAACCGAATTTTGGATTGCATTACGGTATACCGAACCGATGGCAAAATACATGTACCGCGGTTCTACTAATACTGCGGTATACCGTTTCACGCCTATACCATTAATGTTTATTATTTCAAAGTCAATTGCGGTTTGGGACTTCTGAGGTAGCAGTGACCTCCAGTACAGAGTGTTTGTCCCGTGAATCCGTGAAAAGTATAAACTGGTTAATGATGATTGTGATCGTGCATCAGTTATATTAATCATCACTAACAACTCCGTGAGTATGCGTAAATGGGTTGGGGTGCCTGTTATGGCAGTATAAATACCTTACAAATACACTAATGGTGAACGAGATTCAAACATCCATAACATAAACCACTGAAGGAAACACAGTATCATGGATACTGTCTTTATTGGTTTCAATTGGTTGTTGTCGGTTTGCAGTCGGCAATATTCCAGTCTGTAAATAATCGAGTCTGGACCAGACAATTCAATGGTCAATATCGTGAGCATCGATCTACGCAATTTGTTTACGATGACTTGTATCAACCAAGTCAGCGAGCCTGACCACCCGATCCCGTTAGTCGCCTCTTGGAACATGTATGTATTGCTGAAGACCAATTCCAACCCGGATCTTCACAGGTAGACTTCAATAGATACCCATGCAGTTATGCACCATGGCCAGTTAATGTTCGAACCATCTGGTGTAGTTTTGGGTTACTACAACTATGGCCAGCGAGGAAATTGGAGAACATTTCGATTTCATAGAATCAATAAATTCAATGTTTAAGATAACAAATCTGAAGTTAGTGAAACTTCTCAAATTAATGAGAAAACATAAGGGGGTGGTAAAATTAAGTTCAGCCTTGTGTTTGAAAACACTCCTCTGTGTAATCAGTATGTTAGTGTCCTCTACAGGTCTTAAAAAGGTTGGCTTGTTCATACTACTGGTTTGAATCCCAGCAAAGATTTTCCTCCACTTCACTGGAGGACTGAGTTTGGCTTAATGCGGCCTTGAACAGTGTTTCATGTATAACATTGTGTCTCTTCATTGTGGAGGAGAACCCAAGAATTACAATCAGATTCGAACCCACATTAACATATATGTCATAACATATCTCACTGTTCAATTATTTGTGTTTAGGTAAGTACGAAACAAAGACAAAACACTGACTCATGGCATAAAAGGTTTAATGGAATAGTAATAATTTACAGTCAGTATGAATATTAACAGCTTCACATAAAACAGGTCTCCGTACTGGTGGTCTCTAACCTTACCAACCAAACAGTATATCTGTAGGATGAACTGGTGGCTAACATCATATACCTCAATTTCCCTCAGCTTTGTTATTCCTGTACCAGCTTCAGATTAAATTCTTCAGAGGCAGTTAGAAGTTGGTGTAGATTCAGATTTATCTAACAAAACTTGAAATCGTACTTTGGCTACATCTGTAACTTGAATGGCAGATACAGCATACAAAAGAACTTAGGGCCTTCAAGGTGAACTGATTATCTTTGTGACCTATTGTGATGTTGAGTTGAGAGAATCAAGAGGTGGAGACTGACTGATACAGAACTTCTGTGACAAGCTAGCACCACTAAATCAGATACATTCGCACACACTGAACAAGAAGAAAAGCATGCAAGTCTCATGAAGATCAGTTCGTTTACACTCCACACTGCGAAGTGGCTGTGGGTGGATAACATTTTCACAACAAAATAATGTAGCATACAAAACATTTGACATTCTGAAACAGTGTCCAAAATAGAATCTCCCTACTGTCCTGTTGCTTGTAACACTTCTGTATAAAATATGTAGATTTATCAGTATTTCTGTCTGACGAAGAAAATTAGAACACATTAATGTTATCAATTTGATTGCTGGTGCAGCAATTTGATTTCTGGTGCAGATTTAACGGATAAAACAGTTGCAAGGCATGACTCCATTTTAAATATTCACATACATGTACCTGGTTATCAGCTTTTGTTTTAATGTACATCTAAAACATTGGTTGGATTAGTTCATTTTGAAGAGCAGACTAATCGTATGTAGAGTATATTTATTTCCCTCTGATGCTGCTTTCGGTGTAATTGTTACTTCTCTTAAATGTTTTCACAAATTTTGCCTGAAACTTTCAACACAAGCTGGTCACAACTATGAGTTAGCAGCCCATCTAGCTTGTAAGGGGAATTGTTTTTAGTAAACACTGGGACTGATACTTAAAGTGTTTTTCCAATACAGAAACTAGATATTCTGATCTTTGCTTTGCTCACTCAAACTAGAACCTGAAGCCTTGTTGCTGATTGATCAAAATCTCCCATGCAAAGGACACTATCATACCTTCAGAGAAATGATCTTATTTTAATGAGAAACATGCTGGGATGACAGCAACACCCTACAGTTGTTACACACTATCAGAAAGACTTCTTGATATGTGGTTCTTGCTTCAGGCATTACCTCATGGTTATCATGCATATTTGAAGTAAGGCCTTAACTGTATTACGATACAACAAATTTTAGAATACCTTGACCCAGGTGCATTTGATCACAAATATGAAGCACATTTTAGATTCAAATACAACCATCATCATCCATTCAAACACAAGTGAATAAGATGGAAATCAACATTTGAAAACCAAATATAATCCTACTAGCCAGGGAAGGAATAAAAAATTTGAGGTTTTCAATGCATTCAAAATTATTACCTAATTATCACTAATTTACTGAATTTACTGAAGTACAAAGCTCGAACACTGATAATGAATAGAAACTCCAACAAAATGTGCCCTCTCCATACAATCGTGTATTTGGGCGATGTGATATTTTCAGCTTGATTAAGAATAGTGTACTGCATCCATCACACATCCATAAGACTGCTGAAAACATACACTGCATTTCATGCATAATCACTGAACATTGCTACTGGCTTCATAAGGACTAAAACTAGTATTAAAATATTGTTAAGCAAGTAAAAATAACAGATCATAATAATCTACATGAAAGCAGTCTAAAATATGCATCCCATCACTTGAGTCAATTTGGCTTAATTAGTCTTTAAATAATTCTTACTCATAATCATAAATATTAAGCACAACCATATGAACATGCTGATCAATACTGAAAAAATCAGTACAATCATATCGGTGTAAATAATCTAATTTTAAAGGCATATATATAAACCTAAGATATATTTTCAATAGAGAGTTCTTACATGTCACCTTCAGATGTAATCTTGCTGAATACTCATGATCAAGTGTGGTTGTAGTTCATGGCAGGATAATGATAATATATATTAAACTCTGTGGTGACGGACAAACAAAACAAATAGTACAAGTAAAACTGGCATAACATGAACTAGTATAACATTGACTAGTGTTACATAACTAGTTTTATGTTAGTTAGTATAACATGAAACAGCAAACATACTGGTTTATATGGCAACATCAACAAGTGAGTGGGCTCAATACTAAGTGCTGCAACAACAGCGGCAGCAGGAACTACATTGCACTACAACGCTACACAATATCACAGCAACTTCTCCATCAGAATAATAGTCTCAAATGCATGACATCATCCAGTTTAAACATTTTCTTCCCACCAAACTCCAGACATATGAACGGGGCCTTTAAATAATCTGGTCTGGGCCAGACAAACCTGTGACTGGCACACACACAACCAAGTCACTGTGGTGACCAAAGTCATGCTGACCTTGCACAATGGTAAGTGAGTGAATAAATTTGGTGTCTGTCTGTTGTTAACCCTTATTTAGTTATATCACAGCATGTCAGCATCACTGTAATGATGCAGGTCATCAGGTCTTAGACCACTCTGGTAAAAAACTGAATGGGTAAGGTTCTATCAAACCTGATAATATAATCAGGATGAAACTGGTATTTGGCAATTGCCATGTCATAGTAATGATATCAGGTGTTGGCCATTGTCACTGTATTTACCTCTGAAGACAACACTTGATTTGAAGTATGTTTTCAAATCATGATGAAATCGATTAGAAAAACACAAACCTCTTGAGACCATTATTCCTGTTGGGATCAGAGAAGATGCTGTGCAGAAAAGAAAGAATCATTGCACTGCATAGGCAATCTAGACGGATATTTCGATACAAAAATAGACATTTAAGGAGTAACGCTTGCGTAGTATTGAACAGCCTGTGGTAGTAAATTGCTAGTATTGCTAAAACAAGATACCTTGTGTAGAGGATTGCATCATGGCAACAGTAACCATGGTAACAGTGGACAAACTAAAACAAACGTTTCACATATTACACCAAAATACAAATATCATACCACCATGAGTATCCAGTATGGTGTTCAACAACACAGTGTTTTGATTTAATCTTCTTATATTTCATATAAGCAAACAATTGGGAACCTACCATTCCATATTCGAGAAGGAGATAAAGGACAATACATGTTTATTATTGAATATAAAAAAGATACCCGAAACTTCCACAAGACATATTTTTCTAGATGTCGGTCATTTGAAACAAACATTTTTTTAAATCTCCAGGCCCATGTAACATTTTTGAAAATTCTCTGGAGCATATTATTTGTCAAAAACATACACCAAGTTTATTAAAATGGTCGGTTCTGTAACAGAAAAACTGCATCTTTGATGTAATACTACCAATTTTCTGACAAACAATGCACAACAGGTGGGTATCCTTGTTGATAATCTCAGCAGTATAAGAATAGAAACAAATCTGCAAACATACAAAATCTGTGCAACCTGAAAGTCTAAATATTGCTCCTTCTGAAGATGATAATGCTCTAGAGGAACAAACATCACATGACTAACATGTTGTTGAATTGTGTCAATTGCTAGTGCTTTCATCAAACTTTAACACAGCCTATTGTCCATTCTTCTCTATCAGTTAGTCAGGTGTGCTGCATAAACCTATTTTCTTAGGTCTTATATTTAGCATTTGTATGTGATAATGAGTATTTCCTTCACAGATAATTCCCATACCAACATACATTTAGTCTTTCCAATGATGGTGTCTACAGTGCTGGGTGATGGCATCAAAATGTGAATAATACTTTGCAAAAGATTTCTTAACATTTGAAAAATATTGCTATCCAAATGAAAGAAAATAATGCTTCTTAACAGTAAGAATGTAATTCAAATGAAGTTGTGTCAAGTATCTGCCACTTGCTTTTTTTAAGGTCTGCACAAATGCGTAGCATGTGTAAAATAGTTTGACATACTTATGCCTGGAATGAGCAGCTTGCACAGTCCCAAGCTGCTGTGGTTCCCATGCAGGGCCAATAGCAATCCCAGCACAAACCTTGGCCAAGCAACAAGCCTTCCACTAACTAGACCTACTTGAATGAGGACTGTTCATTCTTGAATGTCAGCTCTCTCACTTTCCCAATGAGGAAAAGTTTTTTTTGCCATTTCATCACAAACTAGGTTGTAAAGGTTGCTGTCAAATTCATGTTTGTTACTGCAACTTGTACCGGTATGGATGCTGAGCATGTTTTCAAGAATGCACTGTACTACACTCACCAGGTCCACAATTACAGTTTGTCAACTTCAGTAACGATAATCCTGCTCAAGTACATACATATATCAATCAAAAACAATCCAAAGTCACAAATATCTTGTAATCCAATGATGAGTTGTTCGTTGGCATCACAGTGTCAAAAGTGAAGGTCACATGAGTTTGTGCAATGTCACGACGGCTACCGGGGTTATCAGAGCCACGTCTAAAGACAGCATGAACGTTGACTCCACAGTCTGACAACAAAATAACAGAATAAAAACAATAGTGTCAAGTTTGTACAATCACAACATGCATAAATTCAAACTACTTTCAGAATAATTGTTCATTTTTAGCAGTTTTTGTGATGGTCGCTTGTTGTAACATAATAGGTAAAGGCAGATACTATAAATCATTGCCAATCTCCAGGACCTTTATAACTCGGCGACGACATAGGCAATGGTGCCTCGAACACATGAAACACAGTTTGCTGTAACATTTTAAGACATGGAATGACGGAATACTTACCCTTGTTGGATTAAGAACTTGAGGCTCCCTGAAAACACAATAATTCATTGAGCATAATGTAGTAAAACACAATACCTATATGACACGCACAACCCAACGCAAACATTGTAAACGAGAAACTGGTAGACAATGCTAAAAAGGCTAATATATTTGTTCTGTTAAAGGTGCAAAATTGTTGTGACTGTTACAAAGTAAAATGTAATCATGAGGATTAAATCCTACAATACAAGAAAGAATTTAGTGGAAACATATTACATACTTTACAATCTTACATAATATGAGGTTGAGCTGATGAAAAACACACATGTTCAATATATCACATGTAAACATGGTATGACTAATGGAGGGACTATGTTAGTAGTGGGTCAAAGAGCAATCTGGAATGATCATGAGATGAATGATAATTACCACACTGATCTACATTAGGCAATTAGCAAGAGGTCATGCCAGTTGTGAGAGTGGATGAACATATTGTCACCAGGACTGCTCCCATGGAGTGTCTTATGTAATCACAAACATGAAACAGGCACCCTATGAACTTCCAGTGAAAACCATACTCATTTCAGTATGAATGAGATATTGCCGATACAGCATTAAATTTTAACCCAATTACCAATAATCTGAAAGCAACTTTTCTTGTTAAATTGCTTCAAGATTCTTGTTTTCTTTGCAGACTGAAGCAACTTGGAATATTCCACAAGATCATTAGGTGCTGACTAATAAGTGGTAAAGTGCCTCATGGGAGTTTTCAGCTAATTAGCCTCTGCTAGGGTCTAGTTACAAGGATTCAGTCTGAAAGGTGCAGACTGGTGTATTTGTCGCAATACACAGCTAAAGCATTACTGGATGAATAGTGGTCGTATTGATGACAGATGATGTGCTCACCAGACCCCATATCATTTCACATGTTACCTCATGCATCAGGGCTATGACAAAACCCTCCGACTTCCATGTGTATATTAAACACACAGTAACAGTAATGCAACAAGGCTTTCATTCTTACGCTAATGGCAGTGGAAGGAACCAAGCCTTCACTCTAGTATATCAGACAACCACTGTGTTGTGATCTATCAGTTTGTGGATCACTCTTGGGTTATATTTAATTCAAACAAATCCACAAAAATGTAGTGTAATAACTGCAGAAAAATATCAGAAAGATAGAATTGCATGAAATGAAATATTAGTAACTGTGATAGCTATGGGCGTCTACTGAAACTAGAAATGTGCTCAGGTTACCATGACAACTAGCTTACATGAATCAGTCCTGGCACTCTGTCTGTATATCTGTTTGCTCCTGAATGGAATAGATGGGACATAATAGTTAATGAAGCCAAGCATCTAGAAACATTCTATACAGTGAGGGAATGTCGCATAACACACCACTCAGCAATATTACAGCATTATCATAGCTGTCAGAGAACAGCAAAATGAGACTGACTACACACACACACCAACCATCAGACCTTCATAGCTTTCAGTTCTTGCAACATGAGCTACTGGAGAGATATTCCTGACACAGAAACTTAAAGCTTTGAATGATATTGTTTCCAAATCAAATGTGGAAATGTAACATTTAAGACAACTATGCACAGTAAGAATGATTTTATCTTGTGGTTATGAGATCTGAAGAATTACTGTATATTAACATAATGCAAATTACAATAGACATGACCACAGAAAAAGAAACATGCACTGCATCAAGGTGCTTGATGACAATGGTAGAAGTTTTGGGATATCTGCCAAACAGATTTTCATACTACAAAACAGAAAGAACAAATGTTCAACAGGTGAGCATACAAGTGGCAAACATATATCACACACTACACTATGCTGTTTATTCGGATGCAACTTGGCCAAGCAATTACGCTCATTCAGCTTCGATGAAGATCAATTGTTAGTCACTAAAGAGTATATATATTTTACCACTGAAGGGTAGGTTACCTTATAGGCAGCATATTGCAATTGTTATTTTGAGAACTAAAATTTAATGGTCTCTTTAGTAGTTGGTCTGGAGTTTCTTTAAGAATAACCTTGAAACATGCAGACATGCTTTCTTCAGATGAAGTCTTAGATTTAATCTCACTGAGGAACTGAAATTGAAAGTGATAAGTTTGAGAAAGAAATCAACATGCTGACAATTCCTGCAGCTCTACCTGGGTCTCTGGCATTTTAAGCTGAAAAATAATGATTGATGTCAGTGTGTTGGGTGCATTTATGCCAGCAAAGAGCTTCAAATGATCAATCTATTTATAAACTAATAACAATAAGAGGCACACACCAGGTTAAGACATGCTGTTTATTTTTGTTTTCATCTGAAAACCGTTAGTAGGATATTACACACATTCAGACAGATACAGAACCAGATATCTGTCTTAGTCATCAAAACCACACAAAATCAAGCATGATGTCAAATGTACAGAGGTAAAGATGCTGTCAACAAGAACACATCAGTCAGAATAATCTCACGGAAATAATCAAGTAATAATATTTACATGCTGGTTGCAACAATGACATATTGCCTTGATTCATACACAGTAGTGAACCCAGTTTCTGTCATGCTATCACAGAGTCATACTGCAACCTCAGCACAATCCATTTGCAAGTTTTGAAATCACTCAAGCAGGTAAACTGCAACCTTGGCATGGTCCAGTTGTAAGTCTTGCAATAACTTAAAATTACTCTTAATTACTGTCACAGCCATTTTGCAATGTCATACAATCCATTTGTAATAGTTAGGCTTTAAATTTTTGATGATGAAAACCTCTAACTATACAATCTAGTCTTCTCTTGCAACAAACTGCTTAGAGGATACAGCTAAAAACAAGCTAGCAGCACCAATGCCATGTAGTTGCTTACTTGTGCAATCCAGTTACTGTTTTAGACACCCACAGGCAACAATCAGTGAGGCAATCAGGCAACCACACACTTGCAATAACATTGCTACCATGTTAGCAAACAGTAAAAATGTATTAATTAGGTGTGAGAAAGGTGAGAGAACTGAATAAAACTGAACAGAAGAAGAAAAGAGAAACAGAAAAGAAAACAAATGAACAGATTTATTGGGAATAACTGAAGTAAGAAGTCCAAAGAGAGATGACTGTCCAGAGATGAGAAGAGTCTTGGCATGCAGAGGAAGAAAGTTGTTAGAGCATTTGTAGATGTCAGTTGCATCCTCGAATCATGCTGTGTCATGGAGATGGCTGAACAAACATGCTGTGTTAGGTTCCACACATCGTCCATCTAGTGGTCTGCTTAGTTAGATGTGTTTCTGTCTACTGGTCCAGTGTATTCATGATGTCCTCATCGGGCAGCAGGCGAAACAGGTACTTGCTGATTATGCCTTTCTGAAGATCCATTGATCCAAGCTGGGCATATTGCTTACACCACATATACAGGAAATACTAATAAAATTAAAACAGTTTACAACAGCAATAGGTACAAGGCCTATTTATGGCCTATTACACACAGCATCTATTAGGTCAAAATCCAGATTTGATAATTTAATCTGCTAGTAATGACAAGATGGGGTAGTGTGAGGATGTTATGAAAACACATAAACTAAAAGAATGAAATTTAGGTTATCTCATGCAAACAACATAAAGTTGGATCATTAGTTAACATCCTCAGACATAAGATGCTATCTGCAACTTAAAACTTATTTGACAGTGTCAAGCAATCAGGCTTGTAAGGCTTCACACCATGCCAGCAAACATGAACTATTAGTAAGAATCTTCATCCTATACACAGCGAGTCATCCATTGTTAGATCCACGTCTACATTGGACATGCAGCAGCAGCATCTGAAGATGACACTGTCAGTTACCTAGTCCTCCAGTCCCAGCATTTGCCTTCGCCTCCTCCTCCTGGCAGCACGGTCATCCTCCTGACTATCATCAGCTGTCTCCTCTCTCTCCTCTCGGCGTCTTCTCCGTCTAGCTTCCAGGTCATCTTCCACAGGCTCAGCTTCAGCAGCGTCCTGCTTCTCTCTCTCCTGTCGCCTCCTCCGACGCCTAGCTTCACGGTCATCCTCCACAGGCTCAGGTTCCTCCTTTTTCTCTTCCACTGGCTCTTCTTTTTTGGTTCTTCCTTCTCTTCAACTTTTGGTGTTTCGTCTTCATCATCTTCATATGCCCTCCTAAACCTTCGTGGCTTCTTTACTTCTTCTTCTGGTTCTGGTTCTTTCACAGGTTCTTCCTCTTTCTTTTCTTCTTCTAGTGCTTTTGCGGGCTCTTCTTTCTTTTCTTCAGGTTTTTCTTCTTCATCACTGTCATCAAATGGTCGTCTGAACCTTTTAGGTTTCTTTGACACTTCTTCTGTATCTGATTCTTCTTTCTTTTCTTCTTTCAGAGGCTGTTCTTTCTCTTCTACTTTAGGTGGCTCCTCCTTCTTTTCTTCCTCCTTCTTTTCTTCCACAGCTGGAGTTTCTTCTTCATCGCTGTCATCAAATGGCCTACGGAATCTCCTTGTTTTTATAGGCTCCTCTTCTTTCTTTTCCTCCTCTTTCTTTTCTTCTTTCTTTTCCTCCTCTTTCTTTTCCTCCTCTTTCTTTTCTTCTTTCTTTTCCTCCTCTTTCTTTTCTTCTTCCTTTTCCTCTTCTTTCTTTCCTTCTTCCTCTGCTGGGGCCTCTTCTTCATCACTGTCATCAAATGGCCTACGGAATCTCCTTGTTTTCTTGGGCTCCTCTTCTTTCTTTACTTCCTCCTCTTTCTTCTTTTCCTCCTCTTTCTTTTCTTCCTCCTCTTTCTTTTCTTTTTCTTCTTCCTCTTTCTTTTCTTCTTCCTTTGCTGGGGCCTCTTCTTCATCACTGTCATCAAATGGCCTACGGAATTTCTTCAGCTTTTGGGGTTCTTCTTTCTCTTCTGGTTTTTCTTCCTTCTTTTCTTCTTCAGCTGGAGTTTCCTCTTCATCACTGTCATCAAATGGCCTACGGAATTTCTTCAGCTTTTGGGGTTCTTCTTTCTCTTCTGGTTTTTCTTCTTCCTTCTTTTCTTCTTCAGCTGGAGTTTCCTCTTCATCACTGTCATCAAATGGCCTGCGGAATTTCTTCAGCTTTTGGGGTTCTTCTTTCTCTTCTGGTTTTTCTTCTTCCTTCTTTTCTTCTTCTTCAGCTGGAGTTTCCTCTTCATCACTGTCATCAAATGGCCTACGGAATTTCTTCAGCTTTTTGGGTTCTTCTTTCTCTTCTGGTTTTTCTTCTTCCTTCTTTTCTTCTTCAGCTGGAGTTTCCTCTTCATCACTGTCATCAAATGGCCTGCGGAATTTCTTCGGCTTTTGGGGTTCTTCTTTCTCTTCTGGTTTTTCTTCTTCCTTCTTTTCTTCCTCTGCTGGAGTTTCCTCTTCATCACTGTCATCAAATGGCCTACGGAATTTCTTTGGTTTCTTTTCTTCTTTTGTTTCTTCTTTCTTCTCTCCATCAGTCTTGTCTTCCTTGCTCTCCTCAGTGTCTTTTTCTTTCTTCTCCTTGTCTTCATCCTTCTCCTATTGCAACAATGAACGCAAACAATTAAATCACACAGTCAGCAACATCTGTCATTATGTATTTCCAAAATGGCTCTGCGTTCAGACACCTTTCCTCCACCCCAAAACTATAGCCATTCTTGATACCACATGATCAGGGCATACAGGTATTGCCAATAAAAACTTTAACAGGAAGCGTTCTTTATACATGGCCATACCTTTGTGACTGCTTTTGATAACATGGCACCTACACAAACTTTATCAAATCAATCCACAAAGTTCATTCTAATCATGTCTGGTTGTTCTCAAGGTAAAAGGTGAAAGTATAGCAATGGTAACCAATGATATACCTCATCTTTCTTCTTGTCCTTTTTATCCCCCTCCTCGTCTTCCTAACAACACAATTGCTTTGTTTTATTTCACACATTCCAATGTTCATGTTTTATGTTCTTGTTTAATAATTATACTGAAACTATAATGTAACATAAAAATTATTGTTTTCAAACATTATTGTTTACATTTAACAGGACTAACATGGTGAACTTGCACTTGAAATGTAATCGTAATTACTTTCCGTTTTGTAGATTCCTATTCATTATATTACTGTCACAACTCTACATCTACATTACTAACATTGATGTAGTTTCACCTTAAATACTTTTACAAAATATATAAGAAACATCTCAACAAAACAAATCCTACAGCAATTATACTACCTGAACCTTTTTGTCTACTTTCCCTCCTTCACTCTATCATTATAATCAGTACATATGTACAACATAGAGATTTAGAACATCACAGACTGCACACAGCTGTGTCAGATCAAGTTACTGAAATTGCAATGGTTTCACTGTACCATTCTGTACTCCAACATAAAACTTGATGACGCATGCAAATTTGACATAAATTAACTGATTTCCTTCCGCCTTCATCTCATTCACCTATTAATATGGGAATAGCATTACATATTTGTGTTGACAAGCACCTCTTTTCATCTGCTTAGAAAAGAATAGTTTAATGGGTCTGCCTTGTAAAAGGTTATATCTGTCATAAAACCATCCCTTGAACAGAACATCTAGAACACACATCATTGATGTTATTGTTGTAACTTAACAGTTTAAGCTTAAATGGTAGCTTGACATGTCATTACTGAATGACTGAGTTAATGTAAAATGCTGAGAACAATTCTCAACAATACCTTATCTTTTTTCTCCTCCTCTTCTGCAACCTAGCAAAACAGACATTATTCTTTGATGTTAGCAGAGAAACAAACATTCCTTTCACATGATCTTCAGACTTAGTATTAAAGTCAACAGGCTACATTTTACATTTGTCTTGCCAGTATGAGGAAAACCGTTAATGGTCAATAATGTATCTTATACTGAAATTCCATCTAACCGTTGATGTGCCACTGATTATCAATTGCAGCTAGAAACGATACATCCAAGCCGTCTTCCATTCTTAAAAACAATAATTTTACTTTGGTATGTTAATAGGGTTTGTAATCATCAAGAATCAGATATCGGAAGACATATTGCACACTTCCAACAGAACACATGTACAGAACTACTGCTGGCCAAAAGAGCTACAAGCTACTGAAGCAACTCCATCACAACAACTTTTTTCTCTTCCTCCTCTTCTCCAGCCTAGCAACATAGATGATGCTTGTTTCATTCTTTCCTCGAAGACACTTTTGCATAATATAGCAAACAAGCATTGTAATACTGTACCTTTCTAATAAATCGTAAGAATGGCAGTAGTTGTAAATTCAAAGTAATGAAGAAGCAGAGCTAATGCTTAATATCAAGTGATATCAGAGATATCTGTACTTATTTAACTATAGTTACAAAACTACAGCAAACTATAAAGTTCTACAAGGTGAAAATTATAAACTATGACAAAAATACCTGATCGTTTCCACTTTCCACTTCTTCTCCCTAAGAAAGCAATTGAGACTGAATGACTCTTTAAGAGAAGGACAGCAGAACGAGCATCTCCAAAAACAATATTACTGGCCTATCCATCTTTTTCAGACAGCTGACAAGTCATCCTAGCCAGCGTTTTCATTCACTTCATGACCTGAATACAATGACAACCACTCCTTTTCCAGTCACCCAGATCTTCCTCTACTAATTAAGTTCATTGTTTCTATTTACTAGTAATTGCCAGTAATTAAACAGTAAAATAGGTCAAGTACTGGAAGAAATTAACTCTATCAGTCCAAAATGTTGAATAGACTAATATTTTCCTGTGCTGCATGTCAAGTGAATGAGTTAATCTATAACTTGATGTTTCCCTGTACAGGTGGTCATTGCACACTCTAATTAATAAGTCTCCTACAAAATATCATTCCATCACACATCCCAGAAGAAAACATCACTAGAAGTCTAATAACCTTCTTATTATAATTCTACAAAATATGTACCTTCTCCACCTGGTCTTGTTCTTCCTCTCCCTAAACAACAAAAGTATGTCTCGCTTTAATGAAAATCCCAGTCAAAACATTGTTTACTAATGGTTATGGTTGCTGTACAATGACATCTACATCAAATGCTACACATGATTCAGCAAATATTTATCTTAGGATGCTCATTGTCAAGATTTACTGATTAGACTAACTAATCTTATTAGAAAAGCAAAGTATACAGCAGAAAGCACTAGATGAACATTTTCACAGTTCAGCTTTTCATGAAGCATCTATCAACCACTAACACTATAACAAGCTTCTGTCAGATAATATATATTTTCAACACAAAATTGATGTATGGATGGTCTTAGGCACTATTTACACAGGTGTGCATATATGCATCACAGTGTGCATTTACGAATTGAGGTGTTCATCTATGTATTGAGGTGTTCATCTATGTATTGAGGTGTTGGGCTATGTATTGAGGTGTTGGTCTATGTATTGAGGTGTCCATCTATGTATTGAGGTGTTGGTCTATGTATTGAGGTGTTCATCTATGTAATGAGGTGTTCATCTATGTATTGAGGTGTTGGGCTATGTATTGAGGTGTTCATCTATGTATTGTGGAGTTCAATATGTATTAAGGTGTTCATCTGATGAAAGAAGAGTTCATCAGTTTACAAAGGACTTCATATTTCTTTGATGGTGTAAAGGTTTGTATAAAGGTATTTATCTATTACCCTGGTACATAAATTTGCAGTAACTTCTATCAATGTATCTACTCGCAACTACAAGACTATGTACCATACAGTATTCCTTTTCCCCTGTCCTGCCTAATAAGAATATACTATTACTGATTCAATGTCAATCTAACCATCAAATCTAACACTATTTAGAAAATGTACCACAAGCAAGGAGGTTACTGTCAGGTCATTAGATTCAAATGGTCTATGACTATCAATTACACATCATTAAACAGTACCAATAAGCAGGCTACTGTTACAGTCAGGTTTCATATTCCAAAATTGTCATTTCCGTATTATTATCTAATAAACAGTCTACTATCAGGTCTTCATATTCAAATGTTGAAATACTATCAATTTCAAATCGTAACAACCAGGCTACTGTTAGGTCTTCAGATTCAAATGTTCCAATGCTGTCTGTTATGTCACTGAACAATACCTATATGTGTGCAAAGAAATCAACTTAGAAAGCATAATTCAACTACAAGCAGAAGAAATACCTGGTTTGTTTGCTCCTCTTCTGCTCCATTTTGTTCAACCTAACAATACAATTTATGATTTCAGTGGTTATGTTACAGAACGGCAAGCTCCACAAAAACTATTCTATAATAAGAGTGTAAATATTTGCAACACCTATTCAAGTTTACCATTTCCACCAGACTATTATTTAAACCTACAGTGACATTGAGATTTTGGACATCTTCAATTTATTTCACAGTTCATGTACTTTTTTTCTGTTTCTATTTGTCCACCAAGAAAAGGACTGGTTAAGTTCTGGATTCAACTCATATTCTACAGTTGTGCTTAGGAGATTAACACATTTTCTCTGTTGTTTAACGACAATGGTATGTTAACAATCAAGTGTGGCCCAGATAAATCCAGTAATTGATACTCTCAGCAACGGTCCAGCCTTCAGGTCATACCACAGAGTGTGACCACACAAGCCATGAAAACAAATGTATGTCACTAGATGAATTAATATGTTGTAGACTACAGGCATGATGAGTTTTAAGTTTGCCTCAGTAGCTCAAATTCGTTTCTGAAGCACATTTCTGGAGATCAACATCTGCTGAATCTATTGGAATCAACTGACCGATGACTGCACGTTACTGCGCATTGCAACAGCCACTACCTCATTCTTCCTTTTTCTTCTCATCCTATTTAGATAAATAATCATGACTAATCTTCTCTTATGTCTAATTCAACATACATCACAGTGACATCATTTATGGCTTGCATCGAGTGCATTTATAGTAATGTTCTTAACAATAACTGTAACCAAATCATATTTAACTTAATGAGATTTAGTTTTGTATTCTGAATGGTTAGAAATTATAAAAATTGTTTTCAAGTTCAATCTTCATTTATTCTTTAACTTCATTAATGTAAACCATTGTCTTCTTAAGATATGAATTTTGTTTAATATCTACATATGTATTTGTATTTATTCAATACTGCATCTGCCATGTCCTCAGATGCATTTGCTACAAAGCAGCAGTCAAACACAGCAAGCCAAACACCTCTATTTTTTGCTTTCTTCCTCAACACCTCCCTGACAACACAATTATGTTTGTTTTCATGAGATGTTTAGGTTTATAAAAACATTTTGCAGAAGGCAAAATAAACTACTTACAAAACCTACTGAAAACTGCAGTATACAATAACTATATAGAGACATGCTTTGAATTCATTTAACACAATCAAAATCACAGAAATAATGACAATTGTTTTTACAGTTGAGCTCTTCAGCCATGTGACTACTGATAGCAGCTGTTATCAGATGGGCACTTCAATCATGTGACCATTGATAACAGTTGTTAACAGATGAGCACTTCACTCAACAGATATTGTCAACATATGCCAATGGATCAGAATATCTCTCATGGCTATAACATAATGGCAAGCATTTACATTTTCAGCTATTTAAGAGCAGTCAAAAAGCAGTTTACAGCCACAATCCAGTCCACAACCCATTCTACCTTTTCCACTTTTTCTCCTTCTGCTTCCTAATAGAAAATATCAATATTTTAAGAAATGAAAATGAAAATGAATCATAACATGAACCAATAGTTTCTTCTGAATAAACATTCTTAAAGTTTTTGAGGAAAGATGTCTGATATAAACATTGATGGATCACATGATCTTTAAAACACTCTGCAACACAGAGAAATTATCATCCTATCAACAAAACAGGTTTTGTCTACACAAATAGATGAATAATCTCTGAAACAAAGCAAACATTGTAAAGACAAAATCACAGCATACAGGAGAATTGGCACTAAACGTAGATAGTTTCTACCAGCATGCACTTTCTGAGATAATCTTTTAAGGTTTGGATAAAGTGTATTTAAACTTGATATTTGTCAATTAAATCTTCTTGAAAACTTTGACATTCCGATCAAGCAATAGCTCATTCATTTTCAAAACATGGCATCATGTAAGTGTGTACAAGCAGTTTGTTCTTCCAAACCAAAATGTTATTAAAATGATTTGACATGTTGAAACCTTTAGTACAAGGAAATAAAATGCACTGTGTATTCAGTCATATAATTTGTAATATTTTAATGAAACAATTTTGAATATGAAGATCTTTTTCTCATACTCACACACACACGTTTTTATATGAGCCAACACTTCCAAGAAAAGACTGTTCAAATCATACAGCTTACTTCTACCACTGTATTAGCATTTTCCATTTCTTACTGAACATACTGAGAATTAGATCTTTTTAACATGTTACTCACTACTAATATCATGGGTGTTGGTTGTGGTGGCAAGCAAGTGAATTGGGGCTTAAGCTAGTTTACCATTATGGTGGGGGACACTAAGAATGAAGTTCACACTTCCTACCAATGAAGGGAATCAAATGTTGGCCTGCAGTCTGATAAGCCAACTCTTAAAACACTTGCCTACTCTACCACCCAGGTTCAGAAATAAATGGAGAATGTGCATTACAAAGGTGAGAGACATGCTCCAATTATACAGATTCATCTAATGGTAACTGCAACTATGAGGTGGGTATATCAAATCAACACAAGTACCTCATCTTTTTTCTCTGCAACTTCTTCTCCCTAACAACATATTAATTGATCTCAGTCGTTGGAGGGTTAAATCATTTAATGTTACTCAAAGCATACTGAAGGTGATCATATTGAAAACTCTAACTGCCCTGACTAAATGGTAACTTAAATACATGTACTTATAGCACATTTGACCAAAATAATGCATAATTGTTAACTTTCATGTGGTCAAATTCAATTGTTACAGCCAATCTGACATGGCAATATTAAATATCTGAAGAATATCTGACATTGACAGCAAGGTAGACAGATCTGATATGCAGAATCTTTGTAAATTCAAATGACTGTCAATGATTTGATGGACCTAAACAAGTTCTTTTCACTGATTTGTAATCTCAACAAAGAAGAAAAATACCTTTTCCTCTTTTTCTTCATTTTCTTCCTCCTAACAAAATAATATGAGAATTTGTCTGCACATTGTTACAAGATGTCATTCAACATTCCAGTACTGTACTAGATTTAAGCAACAGCTCATTCATTTTCAAAACACGGTATCATATATAAGTGTGTATACATAGTTTGTTCTTCCATACCAAAATGTTATTAAAATTATTTGACATGTTGAAACTGTTATTACAATGAAATATAATGCACTGTTTACTCATTCATATAATTGTAATATTTTCATCAAGCATTTTTGAATATGAAGATATCTCACACACGCACACACACTTTTGGATATGCCCCAACATCTTCAAGAACATACAACTACGGCATATTACCGTAGATAAGCCGACTCCCAAACTTGACCCTTAAAATCAGTGTCAAAATGGTATGTTTTGTACATAAGCCGATCCCCCGCGATGGGGTCCTATTTTACTGATGACTGCGTCAGAATTCATACTTTTATATTATTGTGCATGTTTGAACTTGATCGCCGGAAACGTGCGCACAGCTGATTGCTATTTCCAGCTCAAATACACATGGTAATCTTAATCCCTGCAAATAATACAATGCCCAGCAAAAACAACTTAGAACTTAAAAGGTAAATAATCTTGTCTAGTGATGTTTAATTGCAAATTTGACGTCTTTACTGACAAAGTCGTCTTCTGTTGTTTGTTCACGCGAAGTGATACAATGTTGTTTTCTTACCCCCGGAAAAAAGTTTGACGAAAGCATAACCTATAGATAAGCCGACCCCCTTCTAAAGACTGCTTTTTTGGGGCCTCAAAATTCAGCTTATCTACGGCAATATACAGTTATCAGCGTCATCTTTCACAACTGTCCAAATCATACAGCTTACTTCTACCACTGTATAAGCATTTTCCATTTCTTACTGAACATACTGAGAATCAGATCTTCTTGTTAACATATTACTAGCTACCAATATCATGGGTGTTGGTTGTGGTGGCAAGCAAGTGAATTGGGGCTTAAGCTAGTTTACCATTATGGTGGGGGGACACTAAGAATGAAGTTCACACTTCCTACCAATGAAGGGAATCAAATGTTGGCCTGCAGTCTGATAAGCCAACTCTTTATAAACACTTGCCTACTCTACCACCCAGGTTCAGAAATAAATGGAGAATGTGCATTACAAAGGTGAGAGACATGCTCCAATTATACAGATTCGTCTAATTGCAACTATGAGGTGGGTATATCAAACCAACACAAGTACCTCATCTTTTTTCTCTGCAACTTCTTCTCCCTAACAACATATTAATTGATCTCAGTCAATGGAGGGTTAAATCATTTAATGTTACTCAAAGCATACTGAAGGTGATCATATTGAAAACTCTAACTGCCCTGACTAAATGGTAACTTAAATACATGTACTTATAGCACATTTGACCAAAATAATGCATAATTGTTAACTTTCATGTGGTCAAATTCAATTGTTACAGCCAATCTGACATGGCAATATTAAATATCTGAAGAATATCTGACATTGACAGCAAGGTAGACAGATCTGATATGCAGAATCTTTGTAAATTCAAATGACTGTCAATGATTTGATGGACCTAAACAAGTTCTTTTCACTGATTTGTAATCTCAACAAAGGAGAAAAATACCTTTTCCTTTTCCTCTTTTTCTTCATTTTCTTCCTCCTAACAAAATAATATGAGAATTTGTCTGCACATTGTTACAAGATGTCATTTAACATTCCAGTACTCTACCAGATTTAACCTACCTCACACACAGATTAATGCAAGAAATTAGTATAATCCAAATGTCCTTTTTATCTACAATGTCAATCCTATTTGCCTGTTTAGTACCTCACTCAGCAAGATTCCAGCCATATAGATAATCTGTGGATAGGAGAATCTGAACCAGACTTTCCAAGGTCAGTTTTGTGACCAGCGATCCACATCATTGTGATACAAGGATATGCTATCAACCATGTAATGAGTCTGAGCACCCAATACATTTGTCAATTGGTCGCTGGCACCTATTCTAACCCGAAATCACCATGTGGCGTGTCCATTCCAATCACCTTGAAACATCTGGAATTATCAATTTGG